TCTCTATGACAATATAATCTACAGATAATATGCGACATCCTTTTGGACAATACTGACTACGCCAAAATTACCCAATATAGTATAGAGGGTGAATATAAGAGAGAATATAAGATTATTCTCTGTTAGCATCATTAGTTCTTATTTATTAAAGAGAATTAAAGACTTTTTAGCATTAAATGTTGTTAAATTTTCCAAAAATTTTAAATTGATTCATAATTTTACTGATTTTTGACTCCTTTGCTAAATATACCTGAGACGTTTTCTAATAGTGCTTACGGCAAGATAAATATACTGTAATATTATATTTAGAATATACAGAATCGATTATTGATAATATCTTCAAATAATATCTTATTATTAAGCTACATTAGAGTAGTTATTTACTTAAAGTACTTGTTTAGTTTTTGAGTCGTAGCTGGGTTTTGGACTAGCTGGGTTGAAACGATATACATACCTTACAACCAGTTAGTGGGAGATTAATCTTGGATTTACAGAATACCTGAAACATTTTAAAAAAACGTTGCGTATCTACTGTTATATATAAATAATAGTTCTGTAGTTTACATCATTTATCAATGAGACCCTTTCATTGAAAGTACCTTAATGTTAAGATATTCCAAACGATATTAGATGTGCTACCATTATCTGAGCATATTTAAGTCTATGAATAAATTAGTAAGTAATTTTCAGTGTTCTATATTTTTTGATGTTTAATTATAGTCTAATTATTATTATATAATCTATAATTATACCCTAATTACAATGCCGTGACATACAGACATGCTCGTTCATCCCACAAATACAATATGCATACATATTATTTTGGAATGAATCAACAAACTCTTACTTAATTTCCCATTAAACTTGTTAATAAGTCTTTTATAATCATAAAAATCATTTTAATATAAAACGACATGTCGAGTCACAGATTTGTTTGTTATGCAATTCTAGAGACATATTTAATGGTCACTTTTCATCGGCTGCTTTAAACTTTTCTACATATTTCTTAGCACTGAATGCCGTATAATTCTCAAGAGTGCAAATATTTATGCACTCATGTATGAAAGAGTTTTTGTGATCCGCATAATATGATTAAAAAAGTTAATGGAATTCTTAAAATTGATACATCACAACCTCTGGAAATGTGCATGCTGCATGCTGCATACTGAATACTGAATACATAAGTTAAAGTTAACTCTGTTCATTGTACAAAATCGTCACGGAATTATGTAAAAGGTCAACATACATTGCCATACAAAGGATACCTATTGTGATCATATGAGTATGCTGTGCCTGTGTAGAATTTCCATTTCCATTACCATAAGACATAGCTTAACAGTAGCACTAAACTAATGCAGTTAATGTTGCTATCATTAGTGATGAAGTCAATTAGATAAGTACCAACAACAAAAATGTAATAAAACCAACTGAAGATCTAGTGAAGATCTTTATATGCAATTTCATACTTATTCTTCACTGAGTTGTGGACTATTCTACCGAGAATAACTCAGAAGAAAATCAAAATAAAAACTGTAGAAAAAAACAAAAACAAAAACAAAATAGACAACCCTAGCTTGTTGCAAGTGAAGCGGTGTCTTTTATCTCACCGAGTGATGAAATACGCTACGAACTTGATATGTGGTGGCTTTATTCAAGCCGACCAATTGTCCATATATGCAGGAATGTGTAACGCATAGAAAAATTAATTTAACCCTAAGCATTCTCAACACTAAAAATTGATACAAAATGTTTCTTTTTACTTTACTTTTTCACAGTTTATTTTAATATTAAATTTCACTGTAGGAAAAACAAATAAAAACTGCAATTATCATTTCAGTTCGGTGAGAGGCTCGAGATTCCTCAATAGTTAACCATTGTGTTTATGCGGCCGAAGGAATTATTTGTTATTTATACTTGAGCCCAGTGTCGCCTCTTCTTACGAATTTTATTTGAATTAAACTTTTGATCGACTTGTGGGGCTTCTTTTTTATTTCCACTGAATTTAATGACTCACAGAAGAACAAAGTTTACCGGAAACATGCACGAATTCCTTGAGCCTTTGTCTTTTTGATTTTTTGCAATCTTAACCTGAACTAATATTGGTTGGTTACCTTTGCAACGCCGTCATCAGGCCGATGATTTACGTTTGTAGCGGCTTCGAACATTAAAATTTATGTATCCACGCATAACTGAGCGTTAAATAACAGCTCCCAAATAGTTTGCAACTGGGAGATCTGGTGAATTGGTTTGGGTAGTGGTAGTGGTAGTGGTAGTGGTAGCGGTAGCGGTAGAGTTGTTGATGATATTTCGAATAGAGTCCTCTAGGAGGCTTAATCAGCGGAGCGCAGCAAGCCAAACAGTCCAAATAGCCGCGAGTCTGCAAATTAATTCACTGCATTTCAATTTGAGGCACAGTTCTTTTTTATTTAAGCTTCCTATTTTTTAACAACTTATCGTAGCGGATCAGAGGTCACAGAACGATGAGTACATTTGCAAATAATAGGCGTGACAAGCGTAGTACGTTACGGTTCGTTGATCAATGTAATCAGCGCGAGAAGAATTAAGCGGAATCGCTGCTGTGCAAAAGACAATTACGGACAAAAAATTTTCTTAAATATTTAAATTTAGTGAGTTTGTACAAATTCATTTTTAACGACACTGTCAGTTTGGTTTTTGGCGTCGCTTAAACCAAATTGTACTAAAATAAACATATAAGATATAATTGCTGATAATATAACCAAAATGAACTCATTCTGCAGTTGAAAAAACCCTAAAATTTTAATTTCCAAATTTTCGGTTTTGCGTTGATTTATAAACGTCTCAACCTGTGGAAAAATAAACAAAAATCAAATTATAGAAATTACTTTGTTTTTGTTTGTTTTTAAAAAGAACTGAAATCACTGTCTCTCATATAACCACTGAATGCTTGAGACCCTCAATATTCATTCATAAACAAAAACCCGTGGGAGTTCATTAAATTAAAGTGAATGTAATTATTTTTATCGTCAAATTATTTTAATTGGAATTGCATATCGCTAATAAATCCAAAGTAATTGAGTACCACCTTACCTAGTCACAATAAATTGAACTTCACCCTGAATCTACTTTCGATTTCTGGTGATAACTTTGAATTACGTAGATTGTTTACTTAACAAATTAAAATTGTAGACAAGGTTTTTTTGTGATAAGCAGTAAAGAACTGAGTATGTAGGGAGCTCGGGTGAAACATTTTATTGACACTCCTTTTATATTAATAATAAATTTTCTAATTAACAAAAACTGTTTAAATTTATATCTTTATATAAAATTTGTTTTTTTTCAGTCCCATATTATTAAAATTATATAGAAAGAACTTAGATAAATATCTAAATATCATATTTATAAAAATAGCAATTATTTTCATAATTCACAAAATCGAATTCGGGGAATCTTCAAGACGTGGGACTCGGAGCGCATCATTAATTCTTTTCCTATTAGCACACCTTATGTGACCAATAAGCATTAATGAATAAGCATTCCTAAATGAAATTATATATAACGAAAGTTTCTACTATGGATGCAGATTGTGTTTTAATCTGATATCAAATAAACATGTATTTATAATAATATTTCTTAACTATTTTATTCTATTTGGATCAAAATCTTTTAATCAATATATCTTTTGTACCGTAGTCTATATATAAAATTGTAGTAAGAAGAATTCTGTTGAAATAAACAGATGTTTGAAGTAGTTAAAGAGAAGACACCAAATGGTTTTCATAGGTAAGTTGAAATGTTTTCTGTCTGACAAATGGATGATGTCTTTCAAAAAACTCTATTTCGTTGTTCTAAAGTAACAACCTTCATAAGGTATCTACCATTCTAATAAGTTGGAGCCGATTTTACAATAGAATTTATATAAATGCAATAACAATAATTTCATCTTGTCTTAATAACAATCTCCTATTGCGTTAATAACAATCTTTTATTACTATCCATCCATGGACGATCGATGAAACATTATGCAATTTTTTTTATATTTCGGACACGCCTTTTTGTGTGCTAAGGGGACAGTAATAGTAGAGATAAGAAATCTGAATTATCAGTAGATATTTGGATTTGTCAATTGAAAGCATTAAAAAGGTCATATTACTTTACATTACCTATCAGCAGATCCTTTGATTCCGATTCGAACAAGTGGATGTAAAATCTAGAACACTCGGTTCATATATACCATATATCTCTACTTCAGTCATTCTTTGATCCCTATCATAGTAAAACTTTAGTTTTTAAAACCTAACACCATTTATTAAACAGTGTTTCCGCAGTTAACCAAGTATTGCATCTATATAGCATTAATAAAATGTTTTCTTATACTTTATATTGCACCGAAATCAAATATTAAATTACCAAATTTTTAATTCCGCTTTTTACCAGATTTATTTAATATACGACAACCCAATTAACCAACTTCTTCAGAATTATAATAGAGAATAAAGAATATGTATATGGTCCAGCAGCGTTTAGAGTCTACTTAAACGGGAACGTTTGAATAGATTGTTAAAAAATAAAAAAAATTAAATAAGCAATTGCATTATATTGAATCAGAAGTAGAAACACTTAAATCAAATTTAGTCGGTGAAGATCTCAAATCTCACTTATCAGAATATTAAAAGTTAAAAGTATTTCTCAATGGTATCCACTTATGAAGTGCAAAAAATAAATGATTAAAATTAACATTTCTTATTTTTTATATCTCTTACACTTTTATCCCATCTTTCATCAATATCCGAACACACAATATCCAATGCAAGTAAATTGGGAATTTCAGATTTCTGTACAATGTTGTCCGCACACATAATGAGAAGTGCTAAGTTGGTAAACTTTGTTAAAACCATTGCAAGGTCCATGAAGTTAATGAAATCAGTGCTTAAATACATATATATACAACCATGTAATAATAACAAAATCACCATAAAATTATAATAAATGTAATAAAGAATCTGCCAGTGAAATATACGATTGAAATGATTAGTTATTTCGTAAAGATCGTGATATATAGCACCGCTTATGTCAATGTTATCCGCGCTTTCGCATAGTAGCTTCATGCAATGATAATGACTTATCGAAACTCCAAATTTATCTTTTGTCTCAATATATTTCATTTTATGCAGCATAGTTTTTAGATAAACTCCCATTTCCTCATACATACTGGAAATAACCAAAAATCCCAAAAAACATACATCCAATACGAACATCGAGCTCAACCACATGTAGACGCCAAATATCGACGTGATGTAGAAAAGTATTTGTAAATAAGGTTCGACATGAATAAGTGATGGTATCTCACCGGTGAAGCCTATAATTGTGGCAGTAAATTTTAGACATAACAGAAAAATAAACTTTTCCCGAAACATATTAACGGAGTGAGTTTTTTCCACTACACGATCGTGCAATCGAAAGAAGAGATTTACCAGATTAATTATCTTCTGCTCTCGGCGCATTTGTATTAAAAACGAGAAAGTAGCAAATATTGATACTGAGACAGCTTGAAATGTGAAGAATATGCCTATATAGCCACCATACTCTAAAGCGAAGTGACGTCTATAAACCGCAGGTAGTACGCCAAAAAACGTGATCATTATTATAATACGTACAGTCCATGATAATATTTTTCCACTACGTTTCAAAGGACTAACAATCAAATGTTTCTGATTCAAATTACAATTTAACACATTGACGAACCGAGCATATCGATATAAGAATAATAGAAACGAACGGACAATGCGGTCTATGTATGTACGCTTAAACATAACTATTAAAAAGCTGGTGACTTACTAAAATCGAAAACTAATTTCAATAAAATTGTATCTCAACCACGCGAATGCGTAAACCATAAACAAAAGCTGTCACTCATACAAAGTTTGTTTGCTTTAGTAATGAAATTAAGATATTGTTTACGTATATTAACGGTCATTTGTATGTGTTTATTAATAAAAGTTTGAAATATGGAGCACACCACAAGAATTTTAATTTATTAAATGCGGTTGTCATATACTGTATCTATTGCATTCATATCGATATGCTTAACTATTGACTGGCAATTGTGAAGCCAACGTGCGATATTCAGTGTATGGACAAAAAAAATAAATATTTTCTTTTTCAGTAATTTTATTCTAAGCATTGACTTTGAACTTAAACTTTTTGTTAAATTCATTAATACTGAAATCTAAAATTTTCTTTAATATAAGAAGTTACCTAAGACTAGGGCTTTAAATTAATTAAAAGTAAAAATATATAGTGCATGTCATTTAATTTCACCCTTTATGCTAACCATGTAATAGCCTATAACTAAAATGTACATAGACAGCAGGTTGAACTGGTTAGCACGCATTGACATCCGGGTCCCTAGCGATATACTAAGAAAGTAATAGTTTATTTTAAATATTACTTTATTTACAATAGGTTGATAGTGTACTCAAGTGTAGTGTTAAATATTGTTAAAAATATTTGTGAATAGTAATTCTGTAGATACTGGACCATGAACAAGATATTGTAGATATTTGTATATTCATCCTTAAATTTATCCATGGTCTCAAACTGTCCAGAAACACTATTTCAGTTAATTATTAATGCAATTGTATAAATCAATTGTAAGTTAAATGAAATGAAGGTCCAAAAAGAGAGTACAACTAACAATGTTTAATCGAACTTATAATATTCCATAACGAATTGTTTTTCGTCATGTACTTAATTCATATGACTACTTAATTAGATATAATGCCTCTTTTCGAATTTATGCCTGACCCAGCAAAGGCTTTTCTGCAGCATTTCAACGCCATCTCCAAAAGACGATTTTCTACTAACATATATCTATTGTATTTTATAGACTGCTGCTTCAAACATCGTTTATGCTGAAGCATTGTCTTCTAAAATGTCAAGATCGACACTGAAAACTATCAATGTCCTATAAAGCTTATATGTTGGCGATTCATTTAGGTACCATCTATATACCGAAAGTTTCGTCGGTTGATATAGAACTCTGCATCACAATTGCTTGTTGACCGCATAATAGCACGGATTAGCAATTGTGATTCTTTGTTTGATCTTCAGGCTAACATTATTATTGGTTTGCATGCATTAAATTAGTTGGATGTTGCCAAAAAATCACAAGCTAGTGAAGAAAAAAAGTTTCTTTAGAAAACCCTTATTTTTAAAGTAGATAAATATTTGAAGTAAAATTTTAGATATGTTATAAGCAAAAAAGGTTTATAAAAATATATTATAAAATTCAAACAATGAGTTTAGAACTATAGGACAATACTTTATACGAGTCTTTATATGAGTAGTCTAAATATAGCTTCGATTTCTTGTAAATCAACTAATGAATTTTCGGCGATTTGAACTTCGTTTAACCTTAATATGTTTAAGTTTTTCTCTCCAAGGATGGTGACAGGAAAAATGACCGAAAAGAAAACAAACTAGGATCGCGTAAAAATGTTTGCTGAAAAGTTTCTGAGATTGAAAATTAGATCTTAACAGAAACAGCTGGAGTAAGCAGATGTACCACACCAAGATGAAGAGCAGGCCCTGCAACAGTAGCAGAGAGTGGACACAGGTCACACTGATGAAAGTATTAAATGACTATTAGAGACCCTACCTCGAAGTAATACTAACGTAGTTCCAGGGTAGGAAAATGAATAAGGGGGAGTGGTTTAGATCGTGCGTGTCAAGAACTCACTTTCCAGGGCGCCGGATTGTGATCAGTGCGTAGTCATTCCATTCCTTGCCGTAATAAAAGTACATATATATATATAAGCTCTCTTGGGGAATGGAGGCACTATTTCAGTTGATTGAGGGATACATGTCTATGTGTAGAGTAAATGTAACGTGTGTGCTCCTACTTGCATTTACGCGATTACGTCAGTTTGCTAACCAGGTTTCAGTTACATTGAGATGTTCTTTAAGATTCGTAGATGTAATAAAACGGTTTAGATGAGAGCTTATAATAGCTGTTTTATCAGTAAATGTGGTCGTGACAATCCGAGGGTTAGTAGGCAACTCTGAAGTAAATTCGAAGTATGAATAATTTTATTTATTACATGCAAATTAATTTAAGTACAGTAATCACTGTACCACATAAATATCTTAATATATTCGTCATTATATATGTATATAATTTTGTATATAATGTATGCTGTTTTAAATAATTTTATTCTTAATTTTGTATTTGGCAAAATAATTTATATGTGCATACATATGATAATATTATATTATACAAGTTGATTCCTTGTATATATTCTTGTGTTCACCATTTTGTGTACTTCTGCAAAAGTTCATTGCTTTTTGAATCTATTGCATCTATTCAGTGTTTGCTCGTATATAACTATTTTTCTTACTTATATTTTTTTTTTTATTGCGTTTATATAATACTAAGATGTATGTAGAAATCCTGTAACAAAATATTGTTCGCTTTACTGTAAAAGTCTAACAAACAACAGATGCAGTAGGCAATATCTTAGCTCCTTGATCAACAATAATAGCTCGAACTGCTCAACTAACTGCTAAACGAAAAAAAACTATCTGAAATACAGGTTTTCGCTTGTAATTCTATCTTCTATATTCTATAAGCCGGGGCAAAGCACTGCATGATGATGTTCAGGCTAGCAGCATGATGTTGCTTGCAATATATTGCAGATTATCTACTGTGTTGCTTGCATTGCGAGCAACAGCATCTTCAGCTAACCAGTTCTAGTCGTCGTCAGTCGCTCCAGCCTTTGCCAGTCACCAGTCACCAGTCGTTGCCTGCTCAATATGTGTACAAATGTTATTACAACTCAAGTACATGAAGTAATTGCAGTAAGCATCGGTCACTGAGCAGCAAACCGAGCAACGAAAGCAAGCTACAATCAGTAACAACAACAACAACAGCAAGCGCAGCAACAGCAGCAGCAGCAACAGCAGCAGCAGCAAAGGCAACGATGGCGACAGCGGTAATAGCGGGCATAGCTAACAATTGACGATTGACTGTAAAGACGTACAAAATTGTTGCTTGTTGTGATTGTGTGATTGTGTGTATGTGTGTGTGTAAGTTTGTGTTTACGTTTGAGTTTGAGTTTCAGTTTGCGTTTGCGTTGACCCTTAAGTGTAGGGCCAATGAACTGTGAATAAAACAATGGAGTTCGATTTGTTGTTATTGTAGCAGTTCATTTAGGCTCTTTTTTATTTTGTCTCTTAAATAAGAAATTGCCAAGTAATTGCAACGCTCGAGAAAGTGCACGTGTTGCTGACATTCTGTGTAATTGTTAATTGTTCGCGTTCGCAGTTCGCCAGAGCAAAAACGAGTTCCAAAGACAGAGCAAAGGAAACTTCAGTAAAATTGATCAAAACATAATGATATATTAATTTGACAAAGTAGGCTTGAGTTTTTACTATACTAACTATATTAACTTCATAACTCCTATTCAACTCCTACTTTACCATATATTATATTCATGCACAGAAAATAATTCCAAGCACATACATATGTGTGTACACACTTTAATGCATACTAGTAGTTAGATAGTTATAAGTATGTATCTATACTCGTATATATATGTACATATATGATGGTTTAAGTTTTACAACGTTTGTAAATAAAATAGTACGAGCGAGTATTTGGCGACAGTGACTACGACGTTACGAAAATGATCATCAAAAGAAAGGTTCAACGACATTTCTTCTTCTAATCACGTTTTCACCACAGCAACAACAACATCAACATCAACAACACCAACAACAGTAATAATAAAAACAGCAAAATAAAAATATATTTAAACAAAAAAACAAAAAAAAAATATAAAAAACAAAAAAAACACCATGTAGAACGAAATGTTTGCATTCAGATTTTTTTATTATTTGATCGAATAAAGTATCTGCAAGTATTACGTTTATGTGAAGATTCTTGCTGTTCACATTGTTTACGCGTTCATCGATAAACAAAATAATATAACAAACAACGTACACGTATGTTTGTATGTATGCATTTATGTATGTTTATGCGTGTGTGTATATGTTAGTTGGTATAGGCAAGTACGTTTGCATGCGTTATAGAGGAATGACTACGAACGAGTTCAAGGGGCTCAAGCAAGGCTGCCTCGCAACTGTAGTGTAGAAAGCGCAGAGCAAAATATAAAGCAAAACACACTTCTCGCATGGAGAAAGCAATATGAAAATGTAAATAAAGAACTCGAACTCAGTGTAAATTTACTTGGATGAGCGATCAGGTTTAGGGAGGATATTGTCATTGCACTCGCTTGTTGATTGGTGCCGATTTATAATTATCATGAAGTACACGTAATTATGCTGGTATACTTAATTTATCACACAAGTACGTTCAAAATATTATAGATAAGAATATTTAAAGGTCAATTTTGGTATAAAAAAATTTTAATTACAAAAATATTTAAAAAATTTTAAATATTAACTTAAGGTTCATATATTTTTTTTGTAGAATCTTATGACTCATAACAAGCGAGACAAAGCTTTAACACTAAACACAGAGTCGTAGACGATGTTGATGATTCACAAAAATATATATCCAAATAACTCTGAAAAATGGAAACAAGTTGAAAAAGGGAAAAATAGGTATGAAAAGAAATTGACCAATTAGAAGGAATTTATAAAATTTCCAAATATGACGAAATTGATACCAGATATAAAAATATTTATCTTAAATTTCTTATAAAGTTGTGTCTGGATATAGTGAATTGATTCAGACTGTTTATTATAAAGGTTGAATTTATAAATTTTCAAACATGATGAAATTGACCAAGAAACAGTCGCGTCTGGATATAATGAACTAATTATTACAAAGTTTGTTCACTATATAAATGTCAATATTTTTTCTTCAAAAACTCAGTTGATTTACTCAAAACACATATTTGTGTAGGTAAACGTAAGAGCCCCAGTAGAAAAAGTGGTCTTCGAAGACATTGTCTTCAAGACGGTCTTTGATACCGCGTCCGCATTTTCAAGCAAATTTGTAAAACAATTGCTCAAAACATGAATGTAAATACTCTTTCTTTGCTTTGTCTCTCATTTTTAGTGTTCTTAGCAACGTATTTGAATTTTGCCTCAGATGACGCTATGTTTTATAAATGAAGTGACGCAATAATTTTGAAGTGTAGTGAAATAAATATTAAAAAAATCAAAACAAATAAAGAAACAAAATCATTAAACTACGAAATATTAAAAAAAAAGAAATTAAATCAAAACAAATTAAATAGTGACTTAGTTCCTGGAAAATATATTGATATTAATATTGAAGACAATAATTCCAGTGAAAGTTGTTTAAGAAACGAAACAAAGGATGTTGAAAATAAAAAAACTGAAAACACTTGTGAAAAATTAGCTGTTATATTTAAAAAAACACAGGATTAACAGGCGTCTGGTAATGATATTTTAGAACTCTTAAGATCAGAAGGTTTAATTGTACCAAAATCCTTTTCAACGCTTTTGAAAACATATAAAACTTCAACAATAGATGATAGCGAAATGCTATAAATTATTTTATATTAGTTTTAGTTAATTTTAGATATGTTAAGTTATATTAAGTTAATTATTTAAATTAATTTTCACTATGTTTACTAGTTTTTACTAGTTTATTTTTAATATCTTAATAAAATTTATAATAATTTATAATAAAATTTATAATTTACTTTTAAAACTTTTAATTTTGAATGTAATGTAAGAAATTATTATATAAAATAAATAAAAGTACAAAATACAACAATTTCTTTCTACTTATTTAAAGAGAAAATTGAAATTCATTTAAAATTTAAAGAGCGCAATAAAAGAGTAGAAATAAAAAAAGGGTGAAAAAATTAAATGAGCACTGCACTAAGAGCGCACAACTTTCTGTCGAATGCGTCCGTTATGCAAGACATGGTCTTCGAGACGGTCTTCGAGACATGTACGCAAAAATTCATTGAAGACATTTGGCTAATTTGTATGAAAGTGTCTTCGAAGACCGTCATACATTTGGATCGATCGGTCTTCATGTATGTATCCATGTCTTGAAGACGTCTTCGATGACGGATCGATCCGTTTTCTACTGGG